GAGCTATGAAGGTAATAGTTACCAGTAACTGATTTTGAGAAAGACAAACTATAAATTTGCAGGAAGGCAACTTAGGAAAAAAATAAAGAGAAAAGTTTAGGACATGTACTGGTAAATGCTCTTGAGTTGGGTTTTACTCCTAGCTGACAGTGATTACTTCGACTCCATCTAACCCATCTTGAATGCAACTGATTTTTTTCCCCAATTTACTAGATGCCTTGTATGAAACGAGTTTGATCAGTTCAGTCCCATTTCCCAGGTGACAAATGGCCTGTGGCAAAAATTCCATGTTTAGTGGGTGCTGAGTTTTGTCAGCAGGCTCATGGGAGAGGCCAAAGACTGTGGGAATGGGCAGAGAGGGCTGTAGTAAATTGGCAGGGCAGGGCATGAGGAAGAAGCACGTCTGAACGCCCAGCTCGTGTAACAGTCTTTCCATTGACCAAGAATCTGGTTGCTAGGTTGCAGGACCCCTTTTACAAGCAGCAGAGCAATGCTATTGTTTCCTAAATGGTTTTAATTTTATGCAGGAACCTCTTTACATCCTTTCTATATCTTTTAAATATTTTACTAGGCATGTAGTAAAGCGAGGTTTGGAACACGGCCCCCTGCTCTGCTCAAGTCGGTGAGCAAAAGAAAGTCCTTCTACTTTACTCTGCCAAAAAATGAGTGTTTCAGGGTAGCCCTGTGAGGAATGGGCTCACATCAGCCTTCCATCTGGGCAAGCAGGGTGCCCTCATGAGAGAAGGGAAGCATTGTCTTGGATTTCCCAGGTAGTAACGCAGACCCCATCTCTTTGGTAAGTGCACTCATGAGTGGGGAATAGAGGGGAGAGAAAGGAGAGCAGGCAAAACTTTGTGGGACAGCAGTGCTCCACAACATCTCAGGCCCTTCATGGGTGTATTCAAGAATTGAGGTCATCAGCCTTTAGATTTTGGCACCTCCACTGAGCATAAAACAGGCTTAGACATAGTTCAGCTTTGCTGTTCTTCTATCAGCAGGAGTAACCGAAGGAGTTAAATGAGTACATCTTTAATCTGTCTTTATTCCTCCTACTGCTTAGAAAATCAGATACTTGGGACACTTAATTAATGGAAAAGTCTCTTTATTTTCAAGAACTCACAATCTTAACAGTATAGACAAAAAGGTAGCTCAGTGTTTTCTGTAGGACAATTGAAATAATGAAAACTAATAAAAGTAATTTTTTTAAATTACGTATTTTGACTTTAAAGCACTTTTCTGACTAATTGCAGTCTTCTGGACTTTTGCAAATAAGTTTCATTGTGTTACAAGCTGTTGCAATATGTGGTCTTCTCAAGCCTTGATGCTCTTTCTCATCACCGCACCAACAAAACAAAACAAAAGCAGGACTTGAGAGATGATTTTCCTGTGCCAAACATCATGTTCCTTCTACCAAAACAGCTAAAAACTGCTCTCTGTGAGTTATACACAAGTTTACTTGCAGTTTGAAATATCTTTTTTGTGTCTGTCTCCTAGCTTACAATTTACGCAAAACAGCACTGCGCTTTGGAGTGAGGGAGGCATCAGCAGTAGATGCCCATCGTCAGAAACAGCTTGCCAGCAAAGTCCCCTCTTCTTAGCTAGGGCCCCCACTTTGAGTCTCATGCTTCTTCACAGGTATGAATTTTGAAGTAGCCCCAGCGCTCCTCTGAAGGATTACCCTGACTGTTTTCCAAAAATGGTCTGTTTCCTGCAGATCACTATACATTGGAAGAAAACAACTCTATCTGACTTCTCTTCTAGTTGTTTCAAGGGAAAATTGGTCATCTGGAGAAATATGAAATCACAAGATGCACAGGCATGCTGTTTCAGCTCCTTCCCTCTATATTATCCTGAGGAGTTTTAGAGAGACTAACTGGAATTCACAAACCCTGAGGCTGATGGATGTTGCCTGGATGTCTTTTTGACATAGGTTAGCTCCCCTTCAGAATCTCCCTATGGTGGAGCTTGTTTCTGACCAAATAAAAGCAAATTTGTCTCCAGTTTATTATTAGCATTAGCTTCCCTTTTTGGTCCAATGCTTCCTAGCAACCTGTGTGTCTGTTTGTCATTTGTTTTTCACAAACTGTTATCACAACTGAAACAAAGTACTTGGTGAAATTAACCGATACCCTTGAAAAGATAAGGATAGGAGAAATGGCTGAGCCCAGAAAAGGCAAAAGGCAGCCTGCCACATTAACATCATCCAAATCCCAAGGGCCAGCAGAGTGTGGGGTACCCAGGAAGGGGTACAGGAGAGGGCAGTTGACTGTGCCCCCGGGGATGGTGCCGCCCAGCCTGATTCTGGGCTAGGTACCCTCCCCATGGGAGCTAGGCACATCACTGCTTCCCTTTAAAGATGAAGCAATTAATGGTTTTTTTATTTCAAAGTTCTGAACTGAGCTTGGGCTCCTATTTTCCTTCTTGGGGTGTCAGTTCCTCCATTCATCATCATCCACTCCCCTGGCTTGGCTCCCTCTGGCTTGATTCCCTCTGGCTTTTGGTGACCCAAACCTGCAGCATCCAGAAGCCTTTCTTAGTTAGCAGGGACTTCAGGGACTCTTATTCCTACTGTCTTGTGCTAAAGTTGCTCCATTTTAACAGAGTGATGACAGACTAATGAGGCCTGAAGAAAAGTCAGGCAGCACACAACTGAACAGGGCCTGGGCACTTGCTGGGCAGAGCAGCTGCCTCCACCAGCTATTTCTGTATCAAATAACCACTGCAGGGACTGGAGTCCAGCTTTTTGCTCTGCCAATTCACAATATTAAGTCCCCAATCCTGAGCTGTTTCTGTCTGCTCTGCCCAGCCCTCTCAGTGTTTAATTATGTCATCCGGGGTCCAACAGCTACAGTGTCAGAGAACTCACCCTCCTCCCCTCCCAAATAGGGTCTGAGGTGTGCCTGTCCCTGAGGAAAGGGCGATGTGGGGCATGAAGCTTTGTATGCTCAGAATCAAAACAACAAGGTGTTTCAACATGATTGGCTGTGTCCCTTGGTGCAGAGGGTAGAAGGGAGCTGCTCCCTCATCCCCATCCCTCTGTGTTGGTGCTCCCTTTGCACAGTGCCCTCCCTCAGCATGCCCGTGGCACAGGGCCCCTGCTGGGAGGCACACAGCGGGATACCAAATTAGCTCATTGGGAAGGGATGGAGGTACGGCCTCAGAACTGCCTCTTCCTAAAAGGGCTTCTGACAGCACGTCATAAAATCCGGATATTTAGAAATTCCTCCATGCTCCCATGCTATCCTAATGAACTTTTTAAAAGGTTTTTTCTTCAATATAGAAGCATTGGCCTTCATAGTGATGAAGACACTGAGTCACCTGTTATTTCTACAGGGACAGAGAAAAGTAATACATTCTGAAACCTGTCAAGAACCTGCCTAAAATAACATTTTTTCCTGTAATGAGAGTGGCACAGTCTCAGGATGTGATGTAGTGAGGTGTACATGCTCTTCTGTCTTTCTTTGGGACTAGCTCACATAATTCAATTAGTTGTAACATCCATGAGTGATGAAGCTTTCCCACTCTCATTTTGAAATAACATGAATACCATTCCAATTTGCATTTTTTATCCTGTGGACAAGTGCAAAGATTTTTGTTAAGGTTACAAAATGTTATACAGTGTAATTGGGCTAGTTCTTAATTAGATGACATGATCTTTGCCTGAAGTTCATTATTTATTTTCATGTTAGACTGTTTTAAATTTAAAAAAAAAAAAAGGGTCCTTGCCATTTCCCAAAATTATTTTCTTGCTCATTTTAAAATCAAGTTAAGTTTTGTTGAGCTGTGGTGCTTCTATGGTTCTGGGTAAAGATTTAAGATTTGCTACAGGAATGAATTGAATGCTGTTATGAACAGCATGGAAAAGCAAGAAGAGTTGGTCAGTTCATACATCTTAAAACAGTCATTGCTTACATAGGGGCAGGATTTGTAAAGGATTTTTTCTTAAATGTCTGAACCTTTCCTTAGTGCTTAATTTACTTCCCAAGCTCACGTGGGTTGTCAGAAAGGCAAGCAAGAGAAAAATGCCCATACTCTTCTATTCCCTCATCCATTTGCGCTTGTGGAAAAGGTGTTCTCTAGGGAAATCCAGGAGCTCCCCTTTGCCCACCAAAAACCTGTAGGTTTTACAGTCTCTCCCTGGACTATGACCTCATAAACATGCCTTGACAGACAAGCGGGTGCCCTGCCCCCATTTTACAGATGGCTTAACAGGTGTTGGCAAGTATCATTAGAAACAGAGCCTTAAGTGTTTGTCCACAGCATAGTCCTAAACCGCTCCTTATTCATAGCCAGGTGGCCTTGCAGAGCTGTCTCGTGATGCCCAGATGTTTGCTTATGCTGCTGGAACTGGGGGCTTCCACCTGGAGCAGGGAGCTCCAGGCTGCCCCTGGCCACAGGTGCACCCCTGCTCCCAGCCCCAGCTCCAGCAGCACAGCCATCCTCCATGGCTGGGAGGATTACTCAGACTGTCCATGTCTCACTACCTGGGGTCTGCAACATGCCTAGGGTTTTGTTTAAAGGAAAAAAAACAAGAAAAAAAATTATTTTTAAAGTTACTTGAAAAGAGTATCTAGTTGCAAATTCAGTTAGGGAGTGACTAGGAAGTAGCTGTCCGAGAAATATTAGTTCAGCTCACTTGTGCTGCTTGTTCTCCTCATTTCCTCATCCCTTCAGGGAACAGCATGGGCAACAACTGAGATCCAGTGTATGAAGAATAATGATGTTCCCTGGCTATAGTTGCAACCCAGATAAAAATTCATAGCATTCAAATGTAATGTCATGCAGGAACAGAATAATTCATCCCTTAAAGTACAATATTTGTATTGGACAGACCATGTTTAATCTGAGATCTCCCAAAATTTTTGTATTTGCATTGACAGCCTGTCATTTTTCTAATTTATTTTAGTGTATGCAGTCTGTACATATGAAATGCCCCTATTTTCTCCACGTTCCCTCTTGGTTAATAGGTTGACTCATGGTAGTGATTTGCAATATTACAGGCAAGGGAGGATGTGATCCACATGCTGAAGACAGAGAAAACCAAACCTGAAGTTTTAGAAGCTCATTATGGGTCTGCAACTCCAGAGAATGTGCTTCGAGTGCTACACAGGGATGCCATCCTTGCCCAAGAAAAGTCTGTAGGGGAAGATGTCTACGAGAAACCAATTTCAGAGGTAACAACTTCTTGATTGACAACATTATGTCTGTGCAGGGGGAAACCTAACCAAAAGTGTTACTCCATATATTCTGGAGGTATGCAAAGCATGTAAGAAGGATAACACAGAATTTGTACACCAAAAATAAAATCTTTTTTCATTCATATGCAGAATAATTTGTAAGTGAAGTCACTGGATTTGAACACAAACCATAAAAAGGTTGTATGCTTCCTAGGGCTGGTGCTGTTAAGCAAGACCTAAACCTTTGGGTGTTAAATTTCTAGTTTTTAAATTAATTTCTACACGCTTCAACCTCTACTGCTCAAAGAACTGGTAACTACTTCTTGATTTTCTTGGCATACTAGAACACTGTCATGAGGGTAGTTAAGAAAAGAAGACCTTTGGAGATTGACTTTGACTATATTTATGGGATCTTAAATCCATATTCATTTTACATCACTTAAACTCTAGGACTGCAAAGTCAGTTCAGCCCCTAAAGGAGACTTATAGGACTCCTTGCTTTAAAATTTAAGCAATAAATGAATGTCAAGTAGACCTGAGAATTAGAGTAAACCTGAGAATGTCTGAGGCCAGAGTGAATGCCAAAATAAACAGCCATTGCTCCTGTTATAGTTGTATAACACCCCAGGTCATGAGGAAAGAGCATGCAACAACATAGTTCATCCAATTAGAACATTTAATTTGTTCACCAGGAGTTGTGTCTACCATCTTTGTACTGTGTATTCTCATTGAAGCATCTCCTGGAATTTTTGGGATGTTAGTAAATAAGTAAACCAAATCATAGTATGTGGGAGCATACATACAATACTCTCAAACAAGATTAAAAGAGCTTAGCAAGGCTTTTTTCCAAAAAAGCGGATAATTTGACAGGGACCTCAATGTAAAATTTTTGTCATGTGCAGATTCACAAGGCTTGTATTGAAATAAAATAGAAAAATTAAGCACAAAAATCTACTCTGAAAACCTGAACCCAACCTGTCTCTTTTATAAAATAAAATGACTTTTTCATATTGACTGCCATGGTCAGCTTTTGGAGAGCAAATTGCCATGGTCCTCCTGCTCGCTTATTTCCCTCAGTTTACTGAGATATGCTGTGAAACAACAGCAGCCCAGGACAGCTGGAGCTGGGGAAGATGAGATTCTCACAGGATAAGGGTTGGGAGTGGGCAGAGCAGGCTCGGCCAACCACCGTGCCAGGGGCAGGCAAGCAGACAAGTACCAAAGCTGAGTACAAAAGCAGGGAGGAGGCTGGAGTTGGTCATCTGCACCCAGGAAAAAGCAAAAGAAACAACATGAGTAGCCGTGGTGGATTTAAAAATTGCCCTGGCAATTTTTTAGACACACCTCCCTGGTTTTAATATTTGTTTAAATAATAGTTGGCATATTAAATTAATAAAAAAAAGCAGAAGACAAAATGGGTAAAGGGCTGTGAATAAATAAAGAGAATTTATGTCAAAAAACAGGCTGAAGTGAAACTCCTAAGGTTTATATTTAATTGTATTTGGCAATGTAAAACTGAATCTGGACAGAATCTAAATAATTTGGATCTTTTATCTCAGCAGACTTATAGGTGTATTAAAGACACTTAACTCAAATTTCAGCCTTCAGATTACATTTTATGCTCCACATGGAAGTGTCTAGTCCCCATACAGGTGTGTGAATTCAGGCTCCCAGGCTCTAAGTTCTGAGCTACATCTTTTTCCTAGTGAAATGAAGAAAGTGTGCATAGCACCTCACCACAAGAGGAAATATGGCACTGCAACAATATTATTTGTTACCCTAAAACTAAGTGAAATTCTGCCCTTTGTGTATCTGAAAACTGTGCAAATGTTTATTGCTAATATGTCATCCAAATAAATCATTACTTTCACAGGGCAGTTATTCTTATTTCTAGCCACTGCTTTATGTAAAACCCAAGATATATAATTACAGAACTTGCATTTACCAAACACAACATTGTTGGTCAATAAACTAGATGAAGTAAGCAAGGAGACCTTTAAAACAGTCTGTTCTCCTTTCCTACAATTCAGCTGGACAGACTTGAAGAAAAGCAGAAAGAGACATACCGGCGCATGCTGGAACAGCTCCTGTTGGCAGAGAAGTGCCATCGCCGCACCGTGTACGAGCTAGAGAATGAGAAACATAAACATACAGATTACATGAACAAGAGCGATGACTTTACCAACCTCTTGGAACAGGAGCGGGAGAGGTGAGTAAAAGACTACCCACAGTGTCCCAGTGCTTGTCCCTTCAGCAGTGACATGGCCTGGTATTTTCTGTATTTAAATGACATTAAACTTACATGTAAAACATCTGTAAGTGTTAGTCCACTCCTGTCATTTGTAAGTGCATTACTGTGCAAGTCTGGAGCTGGAGGAATACCATTGAATGTTCCTGTAGGGTGAGCTTGACTTAAAAAACAAATTTGTTCTGAATTAGTCATGCCCGTTTTGGGTTCACCTCCAGGTAGCTTTTGATCAGATGTTATTTATGTTGGCTAAGTTTGGGACTGGCTTGCTTAGCTAAGTGCTAAGTTCTGTGAAGGACAGAGCACTGTTGTCACAGCGGGAGGGCAGGGTAAGGAAAACCACAACACACATCAGGATACTGGCACACAGGTGGTGAGACTCTGCCATACCCTTTGCATTTATGCTTTCAAAGTCACAAACAATTTGCATTCTGTTTCACATTTTGATGATCCATGCCTCAGGCAAGTTATCTGGAAGAAAATATTATTGTGCATTACAAAATGTGCCCAGCCTGTGATGGGCAATCTACGGTGTTTATCTCATAGTCTCATACACACCACATTTCTTTTTTTGGAGTGTTTATCCTGCTTTGTGGACGAGTAATTTGTTCTCTGTGTCTCTAAGAAAAGAAAGATCACCTACCTTAGCTGAAGACTAAGCACTCAGTAACAGCCTCAGTTTTTCAGTATGAAATTTTTGTGCTTATACCAAACTGCTTGAAATCAATCCATGTTGTTTTGTTTGGGTTTTTTGTTTTGTTTTGGGTTGTTTTTTTTTTTAAGGCTCTAAGAAAAATACTTAAGGCAAGTTCAAAGAATAAATGCTCTTGAGGAAACCACAGGCTTGTGGCAGACATTTGCAAAAAGCCAGGAGCAGAAATGTTTAGTGTGTTTCCTGAACTCAGTTCAGTGCCAACTTTGAGTAGGTGGCATATGAGCTACAGTGACCGTATTTCCTGGTTTAATAGGTTTTGGTTTTGTTCTGTCTTTACTTTCCTTAGTTTGATTGGCAAACTTTAAAGAACAAAAATGCTTCTGCATCTTAGCATATTGATTCTCAGAGTAGAAAAGGAAAAATGTAAAAATATATAAAAAAATTTGTTTTAAGAAATAAAAGATGTATTTTCAAGTATGGACCAACTTCACATCTGATTCTATAGAAGACATTTTGTCTTTATGATACATATCATGTGACATGCAGCCACTAAAATGCAACAAAAGTGGTATTAAAATACCATTTTCATTTGTCCTTACATTTTAATATTCACATTAATTTGACAATTGTTGCCTTCTTATTTTTCCCTCTCAATGTGTGAAAGCCACTAAAGTCTACTATTATGATGTGGGTTTGATTGATTTCCTTTAATGAAGTGATTAAAGAGCTTTCTGTCAAGATATCATGTCCCATATCCGTGGGCATTTTCTCTTACCCCTCCTGCTTTCTCAAACTTCACGTTTTCTACATTCTACAATTTTTGGAAAAACAGCAATAAGAAAAGGAAAATTTGAATTTTAATTTCTCTTGAAAGCAGATCTTTAAGAGCAACTAAATCCACTGGCTTTATTCAGCAGTACCTCTGTACGTGTGGCTGCAGGGGAATAATTGCAGTGCTGAAGCCCTTTTGATTTATGTTGAGTAACACCAGAAATCTGATGTTTGCTATTTAATCCATTTTGTTTGTCTATGACACTAATTTGTTTCAAGATAGTAGTGACCAAGCAGAAAGAACATGACATGCAGCTAAACATAGAAAACCAAGATGCATGTACCTCCCTCTTCAGTTCCTCCTCTCAGATCACTTTCAGAGCAGATTAACAAAATCAGGATGGGCTGGAAAACACTCGATAAGCATAAAGTCTTAAACAATCTCAATTTCTTACCTTTATTTTCTGAGTGCACATGAAACTGAGGCTGCACCCACATCTTTGTAGGTATTAAAAACTGGAAGTAGTATTGTTTCAGGGCTATATTCACAAAGAAAGAGGGGGTGATAGGATGACTTCTTAGGAAAGCCCCAGAATGGCTATAGATTTTGTCAAAAAGAAAGAATTTGAAGTGGAAAAAATAAATTGCAATAGATTAAAGTATACAAGAAACTCATACTCAATTTACATATTGGGAGAGAGAACTGACCTGCCCAAAGGCATTTTTTAAGGTCCTGCATAGGCATTATTAAGTACCACTATAGAATTCATTTTACAGTGGTACTTTGAGGGTTATTTTATTAAGAGCTGAACAGACTTGTAGTCTCCATGAAAACAAAAAGGGACACAGAGTTGAACTTTGCCCGTCAGCCACTCTGCTGCACTCACAGTTATAATGTTAATGAGACAGGGTGAGCCAGAGGAAGAACAGTGCTGCAGGATGGCCATCTCACAGCAGTCTGCTACAATGAGAGGAGTAATCATTTCTATACTGGATCTAAGTAATTTCAGTAGTTTCTTTTCTCACAGTATTTTATCAACCTTCCCTAACCATTGTTGTCTACATCAACATTCACAGGCCATCTGCTTTCGCTGTCTCACGAAAGTTTGAACAAAGCAAAAAGGGAATTCTTTAAGAAAGAAATATGCTTCAGTTCTAATGTATGTCTAACACTCTCTTAATGTATTTACTTTGGAATATTTTTTACATGTGCTTTCATACATTATCTGTAATCCATCTACAACAACATGATATGAAAGCAAACAGTTCCTATGAGTGACTAATTATTAGGCCAGCCTCATACAGGAAGGATGTAACAGGAAAACATGATTTCTCAAAAATAATGACACATGAAAAGTATAAAAGAGAGAAAATTGTTCACTGGGATTTCAAAATATAGACAGCTGGGGATGTGGGGCTAAACAGAGAAGGCTGAAGGGCCTCACTGTTGCTGTTGGCTCTGCAAGACCAAGTGCAACTGACCTGAAGAAAGATTGTGGAAAAGGTTTGCATGTTACAGGAAAAGAGTAGTGATGACTATTTGCCAGGTGGAGATGATAGAAATCTGGTACTTTTAGTGGAAGGTGCTTCTACAGACATGGTGGCTGAAGTGTTTTAAAAATTCCCCTATAGTATGCTGTAATAGTATTTAAAGATGGACTTATTAATGATGATGTCCATAGTTATGGACAGTATTTTCTATTTTTCTATGCAATCAAATTTCCCTTTTCAACACTTGCCCACCTCAGCTGCTGTACCTCTAGCATCAAGTTGTGCTTGGGTATCCCCGATTCCAGGGAATGCAGAAGCAGACATCTTCCTGGAGCCTCTGAGGAGGCTGAGGAATATGGAGAAGAGCTGAAGGCTCCCAGGCCCCCTCAAAGACTTGGATGATAGAAAGTGGTAAAAGGAGTCTCTGATCTGAGAAGTGGAGGATGAAGGGTCTGGTCAGAACTGCATTGATGCTGGGCTTGCAGTGGGCACTTGGAGAGCAGCACAGCAGGCATCAGAAGCCTCAGGGATAAAATTAAGTCTTCCCAGCACAGGCACCCTCATGAGCTTCAGCAGTGCTTTGGGGAGGAGCTGCTGGCATGACTTTGGCTGAGCTGGGCACAGCTAAACCAGCTATTGGTACTTCATGATCCCAAAAATTCTTGTATAAAGCAGGCTTAACATGAAATGATACTTAGCTGTTCTCTATGCTGCCTAGTCCCAGCCATCTTGCCTTCCCTTTTAGGGAACTGGGCACAGGGCTGGGGGGAAATCTTTAGTTTATCAAATGTAAACTTTTTCATTTGATCATCAGGGCTTTTATTCCTGGGGGAAAAGGGTAGAGCTCTTTGTAATCTCAGCATTTCTTTGACGTTTTGATTAACCTAGATGAGGTTTATAATGCTGACATTTTTAGAGGTCCTAATCTCTGGAATTTTTTTCTTGTGCCCGTATTTTAATCCTGTTGGTTGACAGCACATTTTGCTGCTATTAAAAGCACTGGAAAGCTCCCACTGATTTTAAAGGTTCAGAAAGAGGCTTTAGGTGAGGACCACTGAGCCAGTCCTGCCACCCAGGATGGATAGAAGAAATAGCCTGAAAGCCTGCAAAAATGGGAGTAGGAGGAATTTATTTTATATGGATGAGATGTGGGTTGCCGAACAGAGGGCGTATATGGCAGAAAGGCTCTGTTGGAGCTCTGTTATGGGGGATCCATGCGACTGCTTTGTGCATAATTTGATAATTTCCAGCATGGTTCCTGAGACTGCTGAGACTCTGTCACCCCACCACACAGTGATCAGGAAATATACACCCAGTATCTCAGTGTTGTCTGCGCTAAAGGACAGATATGTTTTATTGTAAGACTTCACTGAAGTAATGAGGATTTAATATTGGTTCTTGCTTACTTCAGTGCTTCAAATTATTCTTTACAACCACTGCGAGTGTTCTCAGTGCACTGAAGCATTTCATGTTTTCCTCAAAGGCAAGGCTGGGGATTCAGTCTGTACTTGCTAAGCATTGCCCTGCTAAATCTGGTTTTAGTTAAACCCTCTTTTTGAAGTACATGGCCATAATTAGATCTGCCTAGAGGAGACAGCAAGACTGTGACCCCAGCTCTTTCCTCCACAAAGTTCCCTTTCAGTCTTCACGTAAAATTGTCTCCACTTTGCCTTCCCCACTGCAGCACCCCCAGCAAGGAATGCACTGGCAAGGCCCTCGGAGGTCTGTGATAATACATTCCTCTGGACTTCAGTCATGCTGGCACTGAGGTGCTCTTGGCTGCTCTGCTGGTGATGTAATTCTGGGCCCACATCACCTGCAAAGGGAACTGATCTGTGAGCTATAAAGCACACAGCCCTCTTGAAACAAAAATGGGAGTGTTGATGTTAACAAGTTTTCAAACTCCCTTTTTTCCTCGTTTTGCATTTCTGCTTTTATTACGAAAGCTTCCCTTCTCCCTTTTCCCACGAGACGGCAGCACCAAGCCTTTCACTGGGAAGTGTTTCCTTTTTGTTTCCCTGTGTTTCATGGATCCAAGCAAGTG